CAAACCTGCACGTTCTGCACATGTATCCCAGAACTTAAAGTATAATAAAGAAAAAAAAAAGAAAAGTGGGCAAAGGATAAGAATTTGTATCTCAAAGAAGATTTGCAAATAGGATTTTCTTCTTTGCAAAAAAGCAGCTCAACTTTACTGAAAAATAAAAATTGAAATGACCTATGTAATTTTTGCCCATTAGATGAGCAACAGTTGAAAAGATGCTAACATTCAATGCTAGCATGGGGAAAAGGACCCTCTCTCACATGGCTGATTGGGAGTCTGCATTTCTGTAACTTTTTTGTCATTTTGTAGTACGTATTTAAGTTGTACACACTCTTGGGCCTGTCAATTATACTTTTAGAAGTATAGGTTCATGGTCCCTTATCCAAAACTCTTCAGGACGATTGTCTTCAGATTTCAGAGATTTGCGGATTAAATGAAGATAACATGGTGCATATACTGTACATTATGTAACACCTCCAGCGGGGTTTGAGAGAGCACCACATAAGTAGACACATTCATATTTCTAGAGAGATCAAATGAATATTCATATTAGTTCAGATCAGCCTTTGCCATTGTGAATCAATTAAAAATCTTTGAATTTTCAGAGTCTCTTGGATTTCAGAATTAAGGATAAGGCATTAGGCACCAATAAGTACCGTAAAATAAAATCATTGATGCACATCCAGATACATGACTGGATGTTTCTTGCAGAATTGTAACAGCAGAAAAACTGGGAGTCCTCTTAATGTCCATCAGTGGAGGAATGCAATAAATTGTGGAACACTTGTACTCTGTGTATTATGCCGCTGTCAAAAAGATTGAGTTAGGATTTTATGTACTGACTCAGAAAGACAATTTGCTTGTATTGGGTGAGTAAACAGTGTGTAGAAAAAATATATGTTGTATAATCTTATTGAAAAAAAAAATGTGGAGGGGGCTATATCCTATTTATGCAGCTGTAAGGAAGAAAAGCTTTGGAAGGATATAGACCAAACTATTGACACTGCTTATCTCAGGAGGGTGGGATTTGAAATGAAGTAGGAGAGACTGTTAACTTTTCTTTTTATGCTTCTGTAGTTTAACTCACCTTGTTAAAATGAGCGTTACTGTTTTGTTTATCAAATAAACTCTTTCTTTTAAAAGAAAATGTGAGTCTTACAGAGCACGGACAGCCTGGCAACTCCCCACTAAGCCAGAGCCACTCAAAGCCGTTAGGGATTTGCTTTTCATAATTGATGCAAAGTAGGGGACTAGGCTGAGAGCGAGGCTTACGAGTCCAAGCTTTGAGCAGCTCCTTCATTACTTAATACTAAAGCCTAGTAATTTCCAAAGTGGGCTAGCATGTCCCCCACAGAGGAAGAAACAAGTTAAACACAGGATGTTACTGTGAAACAGAAATTTATTTACCTAGGGAGTCTTTTTAATTGACCCACTTGTGGTGAATAATTTAAGGAAGTAATATTGATTTCTCTCTATTAGACTCATTGACTAAAACAAGTATGGTTTTCTCTTCCTGGGTGTTATTTGTGACATCCATTTTGAGCACATTTGGAATAGGTTTAAAAGTAGAACTACTGCCATCTTACTGTTATTTTAGTCAAGTTTTCAAGTGTATTGTATATATCCCTGGTTCCTGGAAGGAAAATTACTCAAGACTTAGATATAACTAAAGCTAATTAATATTCTGTCTCCAAATAGTTATCATGCTGTTTTTTGGTTTTATTTCCTAAATATGTACAAGGATATATAACCATTCCCTGTAACTCACATGAAAAAATAGCTTTGCATATACATTTTTGAGTGTAGACTGAATAAATGTAAGAAAACAAAAAAGATTAAGCACATCTTATGACGAAACAAGCCCAGAAGGAGGAAGTATGTGAGGATTGGTAGCATTTGTGTATATTTGTTTATTTCTTTCAACTTTGATACTGTAAAACATTGGCTTTTTTTCTTTGCCACCCTTGGATAAAAATGGCTCTACCTCATTTTCTAAGGAGCCTTGACTCCCAATTAGTTTTTTAGAGGCCAGAATCAAATAAGCTTGTTGAACTGTGGTTTACTTGTTTTAAAAACTTTTATATTTACCTAAAATAAGGTAGGAAAGTTGGATGCATGAATTTGGTGCATTTAAACTTTTCTCATTAAGAAACAAAATACTCTTCCCTTTTATAGAGTTAAATAATTTGCTTAAGAGGGTAGCTTGGAAAATTACACCTCAAAATTTAGTAACTGGCAGAAAATTCCATTTAAAGCCAAGTGTAGGCAGTGATGCATTTTCATGGTATACTGTTGTTTAGATTAAAAGGGAAACTAGGAAAATACAGGAACAAAATGGATTGCTTTATTCCCTTAATAGCAAATTTAAGGTGTGTGCTATTCTGGCTCTGACATTGATTAGTTATGGCTGTGAAGTTGGAGAAAGGAGGGAAAAGGTAGGAACTCTAGTAGATCACACCCCTAGATAATTTAGCACATGTTGTGTCTAAACGGACATATCATTGTTACTATACTTTGATTTTATAATGTGAATATAGTAGGAGGTGCAAATTAAAGCAGTGTTAGTAATTTAATAGTGATAGTATCAGCTTCATTCTGCCATCTCTTCCCTGTCCCCCCTTCTGACCTGTCACTTGAGGGCCCCACCCTTGGCAAACAGTCATGCACATCGTTTGTTTGTTTAATTAAGTTATTTTAGAGACAGGGTCTTGCTCTGTGGCCCAGACTGGAGCACAGTGGTACGTTCGCAGCTCACTACTACCTCAAACTCCTGGGCTCAAGTGATTCAACACAGTAGCTAGGACTACAGGCTCCTTATCACCACACCCAACTAATTAAAAAATTTCTTGCTATGTTGCCCACTCTGGCCTTGAGCTCCTTACCTCAGGTGGTCCTCCTGCTTCAGCTTCCCACAGTGCTGGAGTTACAGATGTGAGTCACGGCACCTGGCCTTTGGACTTTGTTATAGGGCACTTAGGATACCTAGTTTGAAAGAGACTTCAGGTTTGTTTGTAAACATACTACAATTACAGTTTTCTGTCTCTGTAGATTATCAAGTGTATTTACTTGACCGTGGTTTTCTGTGATACTTGGTATCAACAACTAAAAGTATGCCTTTGGAGTAAGTCAGACCTGAATGATGCTTACTGCTGTGTGCTAAATAGAATACTGTTACTGAAATAACTTCATTTTAATAATTAAGATTACTCTTGAGTATGTGCTGCATAAATGTTAACTTCTTTTCTGTAGTGTGAACTCCATATTGTAGAACAAGTAGACATGAGTTATATTTCTTCCTTTAAAGCATACTACTTGTCCTGAAGCGAAGTCAGTCTTTTCAGGTTGTTGAGTAGTTTGGGAGCATTAAGATGTGCTTGAATTGGTTTGAATGTAAATAGAGTGTTCAGAATATTCGCTATCCTACATTACTGATAATGCTACCCTTGGTAGGGGAAAATTAGAATGAAAAGATAGTGCTTTCCTGAGGTCATTCATTGACCTGTGGCTTAGAATTATGAGTGATAAATATTTATCTGTCAGCTTTTTGTTTAGAATAAACTTTATTTCGAATACAGCTTCACATTTTCTATTACTGAATTTGACAAGTAGTTCACATGATAATTTCTTTAAAATACTGATTGGGTTGAATTAGATTTATTTTTAGTATGTGTGTGTCTCTTCTAGGAAGAGTGCATACTGCCTAGCATTAGACGTGGGCAGTTTTTAAAGGAATTAGCATAATGCAGTCACTGATCTGATTCTTATCTCATTTAGAGCTGGTGTAGAGGTCATTGATAGGCCAAATATAAGACTGTACAGAGAAGTAAAAATTAAAGATAACTTCTTCAATTGCTTTAGTTGCTTGGGCAACTGTGAAAAGGAAAGGGCCATTAACAAAAATAGAGCAGGAAGAAGTGCCAGTTTGGAATAAAGATGGCAAGTTCAATTTTGGGCTGGAAATATGGGGTGGCGCAGGAGAGGAGCCAGCATGTGATAGGATTGAGAGAACTGTTCACATAGGAGTAAAAACATTTCCAAGGAAGACAGTGTACAGACAGTATGAAACGGATAGCATATTTGTGACGATTACTTCAGTTTGGGGTGGGGAAGAAAAGAAAGGTAATAGGGAAGAGGGCTTAGAGAGCTAAGAAGAGGAAGTGTGTGTGGTAGGCAGTATCAATCAAGTACTGTATTGAGATCAAGGAATGAGAATTGGTTCTTTTTTGAAACAGAGTCTCACTCTGCTGCCCAGGCTGCATTACAGGGGCACAATCTCAGCTCATTGCAACCTCCACCTCACGGATTCAAGTGATTCTTGTGCCTCACCCTCCCGAGTAGCTGGGATTACAGGCATGTACCACCATGCCCGGCTAATTTTTTGTGTTTTTGGTAGAGATGAGGGTTCACCATGTTGGCCAGGCAGTTTCTGAACTCCTGGCCTCAAGTGATCCACCCACCTCCACCTCCCAAAATGCTGGGATTACAAGCCTGAGCCACCGTGACCAGCTGAGAATTGGTTCTTAAATTTGGATCTGCAAAGTCCCAGTTACTATTGAGAGAGTATTGTTTTGATAAGTTTTTATTACTTCAGTTTTGGGTTTGAGAAACATGAAACAGAAGTTTTTGACTCCAGAGGGCTAGCTCCAGCTCTGTCTCGTCCCTTTCCTCCCTCACTGAGGCCATTTACACTGTGTTAATTAAGCTAATTGAGATACTGCTAAAAAAACTTACTCCAGCAGAATTCACTTCCTTAAGTATTCAACCTGATTTTAGAGGGAAAAGTTTGTTTTAAGATAGAATGTTTACATTTTTGGTAAAATACTGGCCTTAGAGTCAGCAGATGTGCATTCCAACGCTGCTGTTCCCTTAACCTCTCTGGGGGCCCCATTTCCTCTTCAGTTGAATTTGGGAGTTGGGCTAGATTATCTCTTAGGCTGTAGTACAATTATGATGTTAATGACATTTGTCTCTTTTTCCCCTTTTGTTTTGTTTTATTGTAATAGGTTCACCAAGTTGAAGAGTCTTAACCTTTCCAATAATCATTTAGGGGACTTCCCACTTGCAGTCTGCAATATTCCAACCCTGGCAGAGCTGAATGTGTCCTGCAATGCCTTGCGATCAGTCCCAGCAGACGTTGGAGTGATGCACAAGTGAGAACTTTAAACCCCACTGGCGGGTATATCCGAAACCCCAGGGAAGCTGCATTGGGGGTGTTCCACATAAGATTAGTTAACTTGTTATGTTGGTCATGTAAGTTTTGGCCCCAAATCAAGAGATCAGGCACTCTGTCGTCTGTGTGGGGTTCATTTGTTAGATTTATACTCTTTGCAGTCTTGTAAAAAAAACTAAATATTCTTGTTTAGAACTGAAGATCCCTACAGATGAGTATGTCTAAACATGGGGTGTGGGTTATGTTCTCATTTTTCTGAGTTATATTGAATTCTGAGACTTAGAGATTAATTTTAAGAAATAACAAAGCCCAAAGGATAGCTGAATCGATTCATATCACATTTAGCTCACATTGGTCTTATTTATGTCTATTCAAATTGGGAAAACTAGTCATAATTTTCATTTTCAATAAAAGATTAAGATACTTATCTCTGATTATTTCTCTTTAACCCATTACTGCCTCAGGCCCTGTCCTTAGACATTTTGCAAAGAGTAATATATTTTCTGGTAATATGATCTACACTTAATCAAACTTGTATGTTGATAATAAAGATGTAAAATGTATACATTCTCTTTGTAATTCTTATGTTTTCACTAATAGCTTACAGACATTTTTGTTGGATGGAAACTTTCTACAATCCCTTCCTGCTGAGTTGGAGAACATGAAGCAGCTTAGTTATCTGGGCCTTTCTTTCAATGAATTTACTGACATTCCAGAAGTGTTGGAGAAATTGACTGCTGTGGATAAACTTTGTATGTCCGGAAACTGTATGGAGACTCTTAGGCTACAGGCCTTAAGAAAAATGCCTCACATTAAACATGTGGATCTAAGGTAACAATTTTTGAGAGATAGATCTCATTCGAGTGGTTGGCATATATTGCAGGCATAGGGAGTAGGTCATATAGCCTTTTTCAGTGAAATTAACCAAGGCAAACAGGCTGGGTAGTTGAATGTGGGCCTGTTTTTCTATTTCTGCCTAGAAGGAAGAATTAGGATTAATTGTAGGGTTTGCTGTCACTAGAAACTTGTTAAAAATTTCTCATTCATATGTCTCGAAGGTCTTTGCTTTGCAAATTGGAACCCAGTTGAGTGAAAAAGCTGTGTTTTGTTTTTGTTTGTTTTATTTTTTGATGTTGTTTTCAAAGAGATAGGGCCTTGCTCTCTTGCCCGGCCTGGAGTGCAGTGGTGCGCACATAGCTCACTGCAGCCTCAAACTCCTGGGCTCCAGCAGTCTTCCTGCCTCAGCCTCCCAAGTACTCAGGCATGTGCAGTTTCATCACCTTTTCCTGCCCTTTCTTCTTCATTCATATGGTCAGTCTAGGAAACCCATACATTCCTGTCCCATAAAGAATTGCTTGGCTTCACCTTTCCTCAGAAAAAAGGAATCAGACCTGTCCTTCCTGGGGAAGTATTAGCAATTTGCAGATCTAGAATTCTTAATTTGGAGGTAAATGTGGTTATAATTTGTTTGATTTTTGTGAACTTCTTGGAATGTGACAAGATAAGGAACTCTAAACACTTTGTTAACTTGCTTTCCAAATTGTTAACATTATTTGCCTCTGATTTCCTTACATTCCAAAATTTAAGCCCTATTTTATTCATCCACCAGTGGTATAACTTCATTAGAGCCAAGGGCAATGGCTTGCATTGACCTCAGGTAACAAAAATGAGATGATTTCTGAGTTACTGGTACATGTAGGAAGACATCATTTTTCTTGATCTGAATTAGCTTATACATAAGATCAACCTAAAATGTCTAGAAGGAATAAATCTTAGTAAGAGCTTTATAAATTCGTCAGATTCATACTTCTAACTTGAGCCTTTTTAGATGACGTCACCTACAGGATATTTAAATACCAGAATAGACATTAGACACCCTGTAAATGTTGTGTGACCATGAGTAACTGCTTCCTTCCTGAGCTGAGGAAGGGAAAATCAGATTAGATTTGTTCTAATTCTGCCTTAATACTTTATTTGTTGTTTTTTGTTTTTGTTTTCATTTCTGTTTTTTTGAGACAGTGTCTCTTTTCTGTCGCCCAGGCTGGAGTGTAGTGGCATGGTCTCAGCTCACTGCAACGTCAACCTCCTGGGTTCGAGAGATTCTCCTGCCTCAACCCCCCGAATAGCTGGGATTACAGGTGCCCGCCACCACGCCTGGCTAATTTTTGTATTTTTAGTAGAAACAGAGTTTTACCATGTTGGCCAGGCTGGTCTTGAACTCCTGGCCTGAAGTGATCCGCCTGCCTAGGCCTTTCAAAGTGCTGGGATTACAAATGTGAGCCACCCAGGAGAATTGCCTGAACCCAGGAGGCGGAGGTTGCGGTGAGCCAAGATCGCGCCATTGCACTCCAGCCTGGGTAACAAGAGTGAAACTCCATCTCAAAACAAAACAAAACAAAACAAAACAGAAACAAACAAACAAACAAAAAACAACAGATGTGAGCCACCATGCTCAGCCTAATTATGCCTTAATACTTAAAATCAAAGCTAGTGGAGTAATTTTAAGGAGAGTCTCGCTTAGTTTCTTTAAGTAAAGGGCTAATTTTACTGAGATTTTTTTTTGCTTTAAATGGAAATGTTACATCAGATTAAGTGATTATTTTTTTCTTTATATTAATGTTTTTTGATGCCATTTCTTCGGTGGTGTCATTAATAATTTCTCCTCCTGTCGTCGTCGTTGTCACTGCCGCCGCCGCCGCCGCCGCCGCCTCCTCTGCCTCCTCCTCCTTCTCCTTTCTCCTTCCTCCTTCCTCCTCCTCCTCCTCCTCCCTCTTCCTCTTCCTCTTCCTCTTGCCTGTGCAAAGTGTGGCTGTTTCTCGTTGGTCACTTCTCCTTCGATCCATTTTTTCTGCATTGGTGGTTGCATATACTCTCAGGCTTCACTTTCACCTTTCATCTTGATATTAATCATTCCCCAGTCTTTCCCTAACCGTTCTTTGACTTCTTGAGACCAGTTCCACTTAAGCTGCCAGCTAAATAACTCCTCCTTGGTTTTCCTTATTGATGCGTTTGACCAAATACATGTGAAACAGAGTTCAGTGTCTTTCTTACTTAACCAGTTCTTTCTCATGGATTTGCTTTTGCTGATAGCAACGCCACCTCATTGGTTTTCCAGACACACAACTCTTGGCTGATTCTGTCAGCTTTGCTTTTACATGAGTTTCTCTCTTTCATCACTTCCTTTTTCTTCTCACTGTGACTGTTGTCTTCTAGCTGAGCCATTTGCTTCCATTGTGCAGCCTCCCAAACAAGCACAATTTTACTCAGAGCCTGCCATTCTCTAGCTCAAAGTATTCAAGCCCTTATATTTGGTTTCAGCCCACAGGTATGTGAGTCCCTTGAGGATGAGGCTCTATCTCAGAGCCGCTCATGTGTGGGCCTCCAACCTGTGATAGCAAGTGAACTATTTGCTACTTTTCCTCAGTGAGATGTGTACAGAAGTTGAGACTAATATTTTAGTAACATTTAATGATTCGACATTCCACAGTATCTTAAGTGCATTGAGTTGATTCTTGTTGTACAGGGTATCAACTAGTTTATTTTATTTTATTTCATTTATTATTGTTATTGTTATTTTGAGACAAGAGTTTCACTCTTGTTGCCAGGCTGGAGTGCAATGGCGCAATCTCAGCTCAATGCAACCTCTGCCTCCCGGGTTCAGCCAATTCTCCCACCTCAGCCTCTCAGGTAGCTGGGATTAGAGGTGCCCGTCACCATGCCTGGCTAATTTTTTGTATTTTTAGTATAGACAGGTCGAACTCCTGACCTCAAGTGATCCACCCACCTTGGCCTCCCAAAGTATTGGGATTACAGGCATGAGCCACTGTGCCTGGCCTCAGCTAATTTAGATGTTGTCAAACTGGCACAGTGGGTTGTGTATGGGTTTATACATCAGTCTGTCACCAATTACAACTTTAGAAAATAGATCTCCTTCCCCTTGATAATTTAAGCACTGTTCTTATTTATCCTTCCGCCCAGTGTTAGTGGTTAGTAGGTCTAGTCCTTGGTAAATATTAATTGCCTATACTACCTTTGTAGCCCAGACCCTTTCATTCCCTTCACTCCTGCAGAAGCTGTGCAGGCAGGCACGAAACTTGCCCTGTGCTCTTCTCTTTGCTGCAGAGGCTGTTCCTCTGCTTCCTCATACCTGCTTTTCTTCTCCCATGTACACCTGTTCAATTCTGCCTACTCTTGGGATTCAGATGAATTGCTTCCTTTTCCATAGCCTCTTTTTATTTTTTTGTTTTTTTTTAACCATTCTCAGCATTTTATACATCATTCATGGCACTTATCACATACTTGTAATTCTTGTATTTTATAAAACATATCTGACTCTCCTTACTAAATTGTGAAATATGTTGATAAACACCTTTATCAACAGATATTAAAAGATGTTTTATTCATCTCTTACCACCACAAAGCCATAGACCATCATTGTTGTCATCATTGCCATAGCCCTTCACAGGCTGGAGTGCAGTGGCACAAATACAGCTTCCTATAGCCTCGATCTCCTGGACTCAAGTGATCTTCCTGTCTCAGCTTCCCGTGTAACTGGGATCACAGGCACGCACTACCACACTTGGCCAATTTTTAAATTTTTTGGAGAGACGGGGTATCCTTTGTTGCCAAGCTTGGCTCAGACTCCTGGACTCAAGCTGTTCTCTTGCCTCAGCCTCCCCAAGTGCTGGGAGATACAGATGTGAGAGTCACCATGTCTGGCCAGGAAGGAATTTTAATCATATTTTGCTCTTAAAAAGTTGGTCTGGGATGGGTGTGGTGGCTTACTCCTGTAATCCCAACACTTTGGGAGGCTGAGGAGGGTGGATCATCTGAGGTCAGGAGTTCAAGAATAGCCTGGCCAACATGGCAAAACCCCGTCTCTACCAAAAATACAAAAATTAGCCAGGTGTGGTGGCACACACATGTAGTCCCAGCTACTCACGAAGCTGAGACAAGAGAATCACTTCAACCCAGGAGGTGGAGGTTGCAGTGAGCTGAGATCACGCCACTGCATTGTAGCCTGGGTGATAGAGTGAGACTCTGTCTCAAAAAATAAATAAATAAATAAAATTTTAAAAAGTTTGTCCTCGTACATCATGGTGACTGATGTACTAGAATGTGTACCTAGAATAAAAAAGAAAAAACACATCTCATCTTGGGTACAACAGGCTGCAGGAATGGAACAAATGTCCCATCTTCTTCCCAATCTATGCTTTGAACTACCTTCGTAATGGCTTTATCATCTTCATTTGAAAGAGCCATACACAATTTCATTCAATTAATACAATGTAATTAATTTCATTGTATTAATACTAAAATAATCATTGATTTAGTGAGGAGACAAAATGCAACTAAAGCAAAGTTAATGCAACAAAATACAAAATATATACAAATGTAATGAAATAAATACCAATGTATTTATTTGTATTCTTGTGTTGTTTTTTTTTTTTTGAGACAGGGTCTCACTTTGTCGCCCAAGCTGGAATGCAGTGGTGCTATCACGATTCACTGCAGCCTCAAACTCCTGGGTTAAAGGGATTCTCCTGCTCCCGCGTCTCAAATAGCTGGGAATATAACACAGCTGGCTGATTTTTTATTTATTATAGAGACGGGGTATTGCTCTGTTGCCCAGTCTGTTCTCAAATGATCCTCCTACTTCACCCTTTCAAAGTATTAGGATTACAGAGTTTGAGCTACCACACCCAGCCATAATATATTGTATTCTTGAACAATGCTAAGACAGTGCATGTAAAGTGTTTTCACCACAAAAGTAATAACTGTGTGAGATAGTGCACGTGAACTAGCTAGATTTAATTATTTCACAATGTACATATATTTCAAAACATCATACTGTACACAATAAATACATACAATTTAATCTGTCAGTTAATCTGTCAGATAATGAAGCAGTTCATCCTAAGTAGCTATAATACTGTGTGAGCCTGAAAACTTGGTGTTTCAGTCATGGTGAGAGTTAGCAACTTAAGCCAAATATTAACTTTCCTTTTCGTTACATTAACTTTGCTTTTGTTATAGATTTTTTTGTCTCCTCATTAAATCAATGCTTATTATTTAATATTAATACAATGAAATTGTATTAATTGTATTAATTGAATGAAATTGTGTGTGGCTCTTTCCAGTGAGGATGATAAGGCCATTATGAAGGTTGTTTGAAGTGTAGATTGGTAAGAAGATGGGACATTTCTTCCATTCCTGCTGTCTGTTGTACCCAAGATGAGATGTGTTTTTTCTTTTTTATTCTGTGTACACATTCTAATAATCTAGTGAGCATTTGGAAATAGGCAGATTGCTGGGTCGAGGCCAGTTTTTAAATCTTACAACCTGGAATAAAAAAAAGAGAAGGAGCCAAAAAAACATCCTCTTAGGGACATTGGAAGAGGCCATATGCTCTGCTTGCGTGTTGACGAATCCCAGCTCTTTGCTGGAACTCATCCTTGTGTTTCAGTGGCTTTAGGATATAAGTCTTAATTCATTTTCCATAGCTTTATTTTATTTTTTAAAGGACAGAAATTCACTACAGAGAATCTTTGGCTTTTTCCTGTATTCCAGAGTTACATTAATATTCTTTTCTTTTTTTTTTTTTTTTTTTTTAAGACAGAGTCTCGCTCTGTCATCCTGGCTGGAGTGCAGTGGCGTAATCTTGGCTCACTGCAACCTCTGCCTCCTGGGTTCAAACAGTTCTTCTGCCTCAGCCTCCCGAGTAGCTGGGATTGCAGGTGTGTGCCACGATGCCCAGCTAATTTTTTGTATTTTTTTTTTTTTTAGTAAAAACGGGGTTTCACCATGCTGGCTAGGCTGGTCTCGAACTCCTGATCTTGTGATCCTCCCTCCTCTGCCTCCCAAAGTGCTGGGATTACAGGTGTGAGCCACCACACCCTTCCTGTATTAATGCTCTTCTAATCAAGTGCATCATCTCAGCACTTTGCTGGCTTTGTAATGGAAAGTAGATGGTTTTTGCTGTTTGTTTTTAAAGGAGTTAGACATAGCCTAACAAACTGGAAATTGAGATTTCCATGTATTTTTCTCCCCTTTGAAGCTAAATATATCTTTTTTATTTTGGTTCCTGGTCCCCATTACTACTTATTTTCTGGTAGCTCATCCACAGCAACTTCAGTCAGTTAGCTCACTAGTTCTCATGGCTAGAGATTCTGCCAGTTTTCCCCTGCGCCTTGCCTCATCACACAGGTGTTGATTTCCATTTTTGTCCATCATTTTATGATTTCTCAGTGGATCCTAGATGCCGGATTTCAGTATTTTCTGCACTTCACTGTAGCAAGCAGTATTTTATAGATGGAGATAGTTTTGATGGTTCATCCTGGTCCTGAGCAGTTGGGAGTCATGTGCTTGCATTCCTGTTTCTGGTGCTCCCATTCAGTGTGCAACTCTCATTCATTATGTGACTGCCGTGCATTATTGTTTTTCCGTCTCAACCTTTAATTCCATCCTACTCATCTGCCTGTTCACCCATCCTTTCTCCTTCATTAAATATTCATTGTAGTTGTAATGTACCTAACAGTCTGAGTTTTGTTTCTTATGTTATATTCGGTATGGTATACATAGTTTCTCCGTTCTTTGGACGTTAATTCCTAATTCTTTGGAAGTCAATGCGTACATAGATTTTTTTTCCCTCTTGAAGTGAATTAAGGTAAAATCAGTATGCTTATTCCTTTCACAGCTGTAGTGGTGTCACATGTTTCAGAATATATTGTGAAGGTTAAAACCTTCTGGAATTGCAGCTAAAAATAGATACTCTGGCTAGT